CCCCTCCCCGTCCCCCCCCCCCCCCCCGCAGGCCGCAACTCCCCGGAAATATGGCAAAAGAGAGTCCGAGTTTGACAACAAACCCCTTAGTCACAGTACTGGAAACCACTGCCTGTTTGGCAGATCTCCAAGAAATTCAGCAGAGGGTGGCATCAACAGGCCTTGCAAAATCCATCTTTGGCCTCCCCGACTGAAATTATTGACTTTCTGACCAGCTTAAACTGAGCATAGTAATGTGAACCTTGATTGCGGTTTCTGCTACTGTTTTAAATTACTGTTTTGATTATTTTTAACTATTGTTATTGGATTTTTTGTGGCTCTGTAACCCACCCTGTGCCCATCCACGGGGAGGGCGGGATAAAAATTGAAACAAATAAATAAATGGAGCCTTGGGGGAGCCCCACAGCATTGACACAACGGGTCTGAGCCGCCTTCTCCACCTGGCCCCTTCAGCGAGATAGGAATGGCGGTCCGGGCAATCCAGAGTCTCTCGTTCCCATCTCTGTCTTCCTTTCCGGAAAGATGTTAAGAGTCGTTCATCTCTAAAGCTGCTGGGAAGTTGTGACAGCACTTGCCTGCCGATTCTCTCCCCCTCTGCGCCGCCCTTCCCCGGCCGTCTCTGAGACCAACCGAGGCAGCTTTCAGTGCAAAACTGGACCTGGTTTCAGATCGAAATGGGCCCCGAAAAACTGTGCTCACCTGAGACGAAAGCCTGGAGTTGCCCAGCCGCCCCTCGCTTGAGCACCTTGCCCAGAAAGGGGGTGCTCGCTGCTGGGTAATGGTTAGCACCCCCTGGAGCCTCTTCCCAGGGGACTCTGCAGCCATTTAGTTGTTAATTAGGGGCTCCAGGCTGTGGCGTCTCCTCTTTTTCCTTGTGGGTCTGGATGCCTGGGCTACAGAGGCACACGTGACTGGGTCCCTAGGTCAGGATTTGAAATGAAGTCGTTGTCGTCCGACAGATAGTTGCTTTCCCCCAGTCTGTGTTGGCTCCAACTGTCTGTGGTCCTCTTCTCCAGCTCTTCTACCTTCCTGCCAAGAAGAACGTTGACTCCATTTTAGAGGACTATGCGAACTACAAGAAGTCCCGAGGAAACACCGACAACAAGTGAGGAAGAGGAGGGGTAACCTGCGTAACGACATTAGGGTTAGGCGTGAACCCCAGGAGTATGGCTCGAAGTTCCCACCAGGTAGTACCGGGGGGGGGGGAGGGAGAGATACTCCCCGGGCAAGAGAGACTCAATGGAATCCTTTCCTCCTCGGTGTTGGTGGCTGCCGTGTGCCTTGTACAGAGCAACTGGCTGACTTTTAGTGTGTCCTTTTTCTTGTGCGCCCAGAGAATATGCCGTTAATGAAGTTGTGGCGGGCATCAAAGAATACTTCAATGTCATGCTTGGCACCCAACTGCTGTATAAGTTTGAGAGGCCACAGTACGCGGAGATCTTAGCGGATCACCCTGACGCTCCGATGTCGCAGGTCTATGGAGCCCCACACCTCCTCCGGCTATTTGGTACGTACGCATGGGGCCAAATGCATTTGGATTGGTGGATGCTGCTGTGTGAGGAGCAGTCCTTTTAAATGCTGGTGGAAGTGTTTGCTTCTCTGGGGACCTTGAACGAGGCACCAGGGGAATGCTGCTCCTTGGGAATCGAGGTCCTGCTCTGTCACGTGTACAGAACCCTCCGTTCTTTGTTGTTGCTCAGTCGCACAGTCGAGTCCGACTCTTCGCGACCCCATGGACCAGATCACGCCAGGCCTTCCGGTCTTCCGCCGTCCTCTGAAGTTTGCTCTGAAGTTTACGTTCTTTAGGTCTTGCTTTTTCAGAGCAGCAAACAAAAAGTCGCGCAGAGCAACTGCAAGTGAATAGAAACCAAGTGAGCACAAGAAGCATAACCTGATTTTAAAAGTCAAGCACTGTTGCCAGACACACAAGAGGAAGGTGTGGGTAGTGGCAGAATTGGGAGCTCATGCGATCAGTGTGAAATCTTGTGACATTGCCACAGAGATAGGATTCTGTGAGACACCTTGGATGTGGAAACCTCCGGAACCAAGGAATTAACTCTGCAATGGGAATGGATCTGGCTTTCCACAGTGGTGTCTTATGCATAGATTTTTTTTTTAATTTTTACGTGTTTAATGAGTTCGTTACAGTATTCAAGGTAGAACAAAGTTGGAGTCCAGGGGCACCTTTAAGACCAACAACATTTAATTTTGGGTATAAGCTTGCAGCGTGCACCTGAAAGTTTATACCTAGGCTTAAACGTTGTTGGTCTTAAAGGTGCCCCTGAACTCCAACATTGTTCAGTTGCATCAGACCAACACGGCAACCCCACCTGAATCAATATTCAAGATATTCACTGTTCATCAGTACAGGATTCAGTGTGCCCTGATAGATCAGCATCACCTGGCCAATAAGTCTTGTGTGTGTTACTCCACCTCCCTCTTCATGCTCCCTGGTGTGTGTGTGTGTGTGTGTGTGGGCACATTCAGAATCTCGTGTTCCCTTGGCCTGAAGCCAGAGGGAGTTCCCAAGCTTTCCTTAAGGACTCAGAATGGTGTTAGGCAGGATTAGCCGAGTCTCTTTAAAAAGAGTCCTCTGCAATCGGCATGACATGCTGTGTTTGTAGACTAATTGGATTAATACAGGAGTGTTGTGAGTCAGAAGCCCTTCATTTAACATCCTTAAAGTTGTTGTTCTTGCTGTTACAGTCCGGATCGGAGCGATGCTTGCTTACACGCCTCTGGATGAGAAGAGCCTGGCCTTGCTATTGAACTACTTGCATGACTTCTTAAAGTACGTATCACAGGTCATTTTGACTTGTGTTAAGCCCAGTGGCTGCGGTGGCTCAAGTGGTTAAGACGCTGAACTGCAGGCTGTGGAAGGTCAGTAGTTCAGCGGTTCAAGACCCGGGTGCCGCAAGACAGGGTGAGCTCCCGTCTCTAGTTCCAGCTCCTGCCAACCTAGCAGTTCGAAAGCAAGAAATTGCAAGTAGATAAATAGGGACCACTTCGGTGGGAAGGTAACAGCGTTCCGTGCGCCTTGGTGTTTAGTCATGCCGGCCACATGACCACGGAAACGTCTTCGGGCAGCGCTGGCTCTTCGGCTTTGTAACGGAGATGAGCACCGCAACCCTAGAGTCGGATTCGACTGGCTTTCGAGCAAGGGAACCTTTACCTTTAAGCCCAGTGGTGTGTGTCGCGTCTTGCTCTGTGCGGGACCTTGTGCATTCACAGGGGGGCGTGGCCACGCCCAAGGCCCTCCTGTCCGTCTCATTGTGTGGCCTGTTCGTGTGTTCAGAGCCCTTGGTGAGGGGAAGTGAAAACAGCGTCTGCGTGCAAGAACTGAGGTCTTTGGGGGGGTGCCTAATTTTGGAGGGTGGGTGGGAGAGGTGGGCTAGAAGGCCTTTGGACTTCCTTCTTGGTCCTTCATCTCCCATCGGGTTTTCCAGTGCATTCCTCGTATTTCCTGTACCAGTCTTATTTTCAGTTTTTGAGATGAGGTTGGGCAGTTGCCTGCTGTAGATAGACAGGCTCATAGCTCATTGCCCAGACTTCAGGGGAAGTGTTCTGGGGCACTCCACCACAGAAGACCAGTGTTCCCTCTAAGCCGAGTTAGTGTGAGCCAGCTCACAGTTTTTTAGCCTCCAGCTCACACATTTTTGCCTTGGCTCAGGAAGGAGGGCTCCAGAGCAAACTGATTTATGCAGTAGCCAAATTGCTCACTCACAGCTTTAATGCCAGGAGCTCACAAAGTACAATTTTTGCTCACCAGACTCCACAGCTTAGAGGGATCATTGCAGAAGACCCCCCCTCCCCACGGCAGCCCCACTTGGAGTACTTTCTTGAACCATCAGGGGGCGTTTAAGCAGCAGCCAGGGCCGGTCTTGGGCTGATCCCATGAGGCCACAAGCTGCAAGCCCCGGGCTCCTGCACTTCTGCTGGTGCCTCTCGCCCACTCAGGTTTTTCAGTCCCTCCCGGAGGAGGGCAGCAGAAGCTCAGCCTTGGCCTTAATGGCTGGCGGGCACAGTCCTCGTTTGGGTTTCCCCCTTCCTTGCCACACTTAGTCTTCCACAAAGACGAATCTGAACCGGTCCAGTCTCTGTCCCGCAGGGCAAGCAGAAACAGTCCCGGGGGAAGCCGCCGTTTACCAGCAGCGAGGAGCGCCTTGACGTGGTCTTGGCTTTATCTCGGTCCTTCAGAACAGCAGGGAGACAGTGTGTGTAGTTAAAGGGGCCCAGGTGAGGCGGAGGTGGGGAGGGGGAGGCGCCTCTCTTCCTCCTGGCAGCGTTTGACTGTTCCGCGAGGGTGGAGGCGGGCTCATTCCACTCCTGCGTGCCTCAGTGCCAGGTGGGTTCCTTCCCCCAAATCATCTAGACTCCAGAGGCGTTGGGAGGGAGCGAGGCCGTGCCCACAGCAGGTTTGGCCTGCTTCCCCTGCCGCCTGCAGCTTGCTGCTGCCTGACTCAGACAGGTTGGGCGTGGGAGGAGGCTCCTCCCGCCGGGCACGCTTGTGCTGCGGCAGAGCCTGATGGGATCCCCCTGGGGGCGAGGCCTGCCGAGGCACAACACGCAGCATGCGGGCCGGAGACCCTTTCCCCAGCCCAGTGGCAGCAGGGTTGGTGGGTGGCACTTCTGGGTTCGGCACCGGGAGGTCGGAGACGGCCAGTTTGTGGTGGGTGCCCCGCTGGCCGTTTTAGGGCCAGTGCTACTCGCAGCCAGCTGTTGTATCCGGCTGTCGTGGTGGGTGGGGGAGTCCTTACACCCCACACTCTAAAAGTCAAGGGTGGAATTAGTGCGGGAAGCCAAAGTCGGAGCATGTCAGAGCAGCTCCTTGCATTTCTGTGTCACTTTAGATAACCCAGGGGATATTGTAAAAGGAAACTGAGGGATTTGGAGGGAAGGAACCCCCACTGCTCAACAGGCTCCTCAGTGCTATTCTTCTTAGAGGCTTTTCTTCCTAAAACTGTAGCTGCCTTCCAGGGGGTGGGGGTAGGGGTGGGGGTAGAAAGCGGCATCCAAGCCACAGGTCAAATCTTCTAAGCCAAGGGGAAAACACAGGCCTTCCCTACTGTTCAGTTTGCCAAACCTCTGTATTCCAGAGCCACTTTGGGGATGGTCTGAGGTGTGTGACAAACACTGGGGAAAGCTTTGCACCCACCCACCCACTTTATTCAGCTGTGGCTGCCCTTGCCGTTTCCCTGGTTTTTGGTTCCTGTCTTTGGCACGTCGGTCCGAAAGGACGAGGATTATTCATTGAGAGATCCCAAGGACCTTCCAGGACCTCTGCGTCTCCTGCTCTCTTGCCGAATGAGGTGCCACCAGGGCCTGAAAGATCTGCCTCAGTTCTTCAAGACCTTATTCAAGAAAACCCCTCCCCTGTGCCTGCCTTCCCAGGGCGAGTTCTAGTCTTGGTGTCTCCTTAGTTTCCAGCCTGTGCTGTGGCCGCAGACGTCCAGTGCTGAAGCAGTTCCCGATCAGGGCAGGAATCTGGAGGCTTCTGCTCTCTGAGGGAGGCCAAAGAGACTGGGGGGGGGGGGATGGTGGACAAGAGATGGCCACAGGCCTTCCGAGACTTCCTTTCAACCCCACAAAGCACTGCAGAGGGGCAGCCAAGGAATTCTGTTTGCGGTAGTGGTTAAGTGCACGGGCTCTAATCTGGGAGAACCGGGTTTGATCCCCCACTCCTCCACTTGCACCTGCTGGATGACCTTGGGCAAGCCATAGTCCTGTCAGAGCTGTCCTTGAAAGGGCAGTTCTTGAAAGAGCTATCTCCGCCCCACCTACCTCAGAGGGTGTCTGCTGTGGGGAGGGGAAGGGAAAGGAGTTTGTGAGCTGCTCTGAGACTCCTTTGGGTAGTGAAGGGCAAGTGGCATAAATCCAATCTCCTCCTCGACAGATGTGCAGCAAGCCCAGGTTTAGGAGCTGATTGAGTCGAAGTTCTTCTCCCGGGATTTTTGTTCAGATTTCACACAACCCCTCTTCTGAATAGAGATGGCTCCATGTGGCTGGAGTAGGCAGGATCTGGGCACCGTTCCCCGTGGTCGGAGGGCATTCTGGACTGGATGGCTGCAGTGCGCTTTATCCAGACTGCACCCACAAGGGCTGTTAAGGAAGCTCCAACTGGCGCAGACGTTGCACTGAGACTGGAGATGGGCTCTAGCCCACGGGGGGGTGTCTGTCTTCCGTTTTTATCTGCTGTGTGCTTCAGGGCTCTGTTCTGCTCCCATTTCTTTAGCTCCCTCAGAAGCCATTTTGATAGCAGAGGCAGGATTTTTTTTAAAAACAATCTCACTCCAGGTTTTGCAGCCCTGCCACACTGATGACTAGGCCAGCCCCTGGTTTTGTTGCTGGATCTCTCAGGCCTGACAGTTTTCTTCGTCTGCTTCCAGATACCTTGCAAAGAATTCCTCCATGTTGTTCAGCGCAAGCGACTATGAGGTTGCACCCCCAGAATACCACCGGAAGGCAGTGTAAGCCTCTTGCCCACAGTGTGTGTGTGTGCGTGCGTGCGCGTGTCACCGGAAGGGGATCCCTGGATTTCTGCAGCTGTTTTGCCCAGTTCTCCGTTTGCCCTCGGTCCCCCGTCTCGCACACGTCTCTCCGCGCAGTCGACGTCCACGTGTCAAGTGAATAGTGAGTGTGTCTGCAGATGGAACTGACCACCCGCCTCTGGAGGACTTTTCTTCACTTCCGAAATATCTCCACAAGGAAAAAGCCTTAAAGGAGTACTTCAGGGAATTGGTTTGGTGTTGGAACGTCCCTGGAAATGCAACAAACACTTCATCGTTTGACCTCCCGCATGCCTCTCGGTCCCTTGTTCATAAAACCCAAGTATTACCTGAGCAGTGAAGGTGATTGGTAATACACCCTCCCCCTTGGGGGGGGGGGGACTTTCTTTGCCAGCAGTTAGGGAGGACCAGTCACCGCTGAGTACTTGCTACTGGGGTGGGGGTGGAGCATGTTCCATCTACTTGGTGTTGGATCGGTAAAGTGTGCTGGTCTCAGTGTATGTGTTTTGCCTGCTTAGCAGCAGAACTGTGGGTTTGGTGTTTTTGGTTTTTGTTTTGTTTTGTTTGGCCTTGAATGCACCTTCTAAGATAGGACGAATTCACATCTTGTACACCGTTCCCAAAACGTTGTTGTTTTGTTGAAGGGGGGATGTTTGTGGATCTCCAAATAAACTTTTCTATTTCAGCTGTTCGAACACGTTGGCCCCTGTGTCGCTGCCTGATGAAGAGCTTTTGGCTGTCATAATGGGAAGAAGGCCGCTTTTTAATTCCTTCTAAACAGCAAACCTCAGGCAGGGCGGAGTTCCCACCTGAAGTACCCAGGAGAACAGTGGCTTTTTTTGTGTGTTGTTTTAAAGAAACCGAAACTGATTGTCCTTCGAACACTGAGAAGAATTGAGACTGTTCCGGGTGGGGGGGG